CCTGGCTATTTTTTGGTTGCAGCTGTCATTGTTGTTTGGTGGGCCCGGGCTGGATTTGAACCCACCACCTTGGGTGTACGCGGCTGGCACCTTAGCCACTTGAGCCTCAGGTGCCGAGCCGGTGTTGAACTCTTAACCTCAAGGGTTCCTCTTTTTTATTTTTTTAGAGACAGAGCTTCTAGCTGTTGCCCTGGGTAGAGTGCTGTAGTATCACAGCTCACAGCAACCTCCAGCTCTTGGGCTAAGGCGATTCTCTTGCCTCAGCCTTCCAAGTAGCTGGAACTATAGGCGCCCACTACAACACTCAGCTATTTTTTGGGGGGGTGGTTTTGAACCCACCACCTCCCTAATGAGCCACAGGCGCTGCCCCCTCAAAGGATCCTCTTGCCTTGACCTCCAAGAGTGCTAGGAATATAGGTGTGAGACACCACACCTGGCTGATGCCAGAGCTTTTTGTAAAAATTATGTATGTGTGAATGGGGTAAATAAGATGTGAAATGTACTATTACTTCTTGTCAAATGTCCAGCTTGGTAACACTGAGCACCCTCACATTGTCCTGCAGCCACCCCAACCTTCACGCTGCAGAGGCTTTGAAACTGGAGCAAGCTGGTGAGAGCAGCTAGAGCTCTTGGGTTCTGAAAGCATCCTGTTAGGATGTGTGGGGTGATGCCTGTGGCTCAAAGGAGTGGGGCGCTGGTCCCATATGCCAGAGGTGGCGGGTTCAAACCCAGCCCCGGCCAAAAAAAAAAAAAAGCTATTAGGGATGTGGACTCCATATTTTCCTCCAGGATTGGGTGGTGGACTCGAATAGCTTCTGAGGATGAGGGCAGCTCTAGCCTGGATGTGGTTTTTGTTAGGTCCCCACGAGGCCACCTGCTGTGTGGCTTTGCAGCTAAGGGTTGTGGGTGGCCTCTCTCTGCAGGTGTCTTGTCTGTACACCCTGTGCTACCCCCCAGCCCAAGGGCAAGGTCTGCATGTAACCAGCATTTCCTGGAACACCACTGGCTCTGTGGTGGCCTGTGCATATGGCCGGTGAGTGGGAGCAGGGTGGGTGAGGGGCAGTGGATGGCCCTGGGACCCTGGGTGGGCTTCTGTCTCCCCTGCTGCATGGTAAAGGGTTGGCCCATGAGCTTAGCTATTCTAGGAGTCTGTTCTTCCAAGCCTGCTTTGGCAAGGTTGGCAACAAGGTGGCAGAAAAAGAGCAGGGCAGGGAATTGAGCACTCTGGACCCTGTCCAGCTACCAGCATCCTTACTTGCTTCATCACTATTTCCATGTGTATGTATGTGTGTGTGTGTGAGAGAGAGAGAGACACACACAGAGTCTTGCTGTTTTCTGGGTAGAGGGCAGTGGTGGTGTCATAGCTTATTGTAGCTTTCAACTCCAGGGCTCACACGAGCCTCCTGCCTCAGCCTATAGCAGCTGAGACTATAGGTGCACTCCACTGCCCAGCTAGTTTTTCTTTTTCTAGATATGGGGTCTTTGATGTGTTGCTCAGGCTGGTTTTGAACTTCTGGGCTCAAGTAGTACCTCTACCTTGGCCTCACAAAGTGCTAGGATTATAGGTGTGAGGCACCACAGTTGGTCTGGTGCCTGGTGCCCCTCCCACCATTGCATGGGCCCACCCTTGGTGCCCAGGGATCCTTTTCTAGAGAACAGCATGCCTTTGGGTGCCATAAGTAGCCTGTGCGACTTGGACACCCAGAGTCTAGTGCCTGTTGTACAGAAGACACTGAGGCAAATTGCTGGGAGCTGGGTGGGGAAACACAGGGTAATCTTGGCCTGGGAGCAGAGCCAGCTTAGGCACATCCCCTCTGTGCAGGCTAGATGACGGGGACTGGAGCACACTCAAGTCTTTTGTGTGTGCTTGGAACCTGGACCGGCGGGGCCTGAACCCCCAGCAGCCATCGGCAGTGGTGGAGGTGCCCAGTGCTGTCCTGTGCCTGGCCTTTCACCCGACCCAGCCTTCCCATGTTGCAGGTGAGCTGCCCACCCACCACAGGCCTGTGTCCTGTCAGGACTCTACTTCCTGCTTTGTGGCGCACAGGTGACCAAAGGAAGCTTTCCATGGGCCTTTGGTGTCTGGGCCTGGCAGGGGCAGGTCTGTTGCAGGAGAGACAGGTGTGCCTTGACCCCCTGGGCTCAGTGTGAAGCCCGGGGGAGACTTGAGATGGGCACAGGCAGGTGCCCCACTGAGGTAGAGGCAGTGTGGAAAGCAGCCAGGGCAGGGATGTGCAGACAGCTGAAGAGATAGGCACCTGGGGTTGTCAGCAGTGACAGTAGCTCATATAGTCAGGAAGGGGCAAGTGATGGTGGAGGCAGTGGCAGGGCGCTGGGCAGAGTGTCATCTGGGGTGCAGCAGTGAGGGCCTCTGCAGGGATGGCCTTAAGACAAGTGGCTGGGCTTGGCGCCCATAGCTTAGTGGTTAGGTCGCCAGCCACATACACCAGGGCTGGTGGGTTTGGATCCAGCCCAGGCCCACTAAATGACGACAACTACAACAAAAAAAGTAGCCGGGTATTGTGGCAGGTGCCTGTAGTCCTAGCTATTTGGGAGGCTGAGGCAAGAGAATCGCTTAAGCCCAAGAGTTTGAGGCCGTGAGCTGTGATGCCATGGCATTCTACCAAGGGCGATAAAGTGAGACTCTGTCTCTTAAAAAAAAAAAAGTGGCTGCATAAACCTGCCTCTGTAGGTGGTATGGGAATCTGGGCTGCTAGGTAGGGTTGAGCTCCTGCCCTCGCCTGATTGTCCCCACAGGAGGACTCTATAGTGGTGAGGTGCTGGTGTGGGACATGAGCCGTACTGAGGACCCACTGCTCTGGCGCACAGGCCTGACAGATGACACTCACACAGATCCTGTGTACCAGGTCAGGTGGCAGATCCTATCTTCCCTCTGAGTTGGGGGCCTTGAGGCAGAGCAGGGAGAAGGCACTTGTTCTAGGAAGGTCACAGGCATTGGCAGTCAGGCAGCTGCCTCCTGCATTCTCAGAGCTCCGCTAGCATGAGTCACCCCATGGCATTGTGGCCATCCATTCTCAGCCTCCTATACAGGCGCTGCCTGGGGAGTGGCTGCCAGCTGTCCTGCCTTCTTGTTGGCTCTGGGATTCTGGGACTGGGGAGGGTACCTGAGAACCCTTGGGGTGGGTGGGTGGGGCTACCTCTTTTTCCTGGAAGAGCAGGGAGGGTGGGAGTGGAGTTCAACTCTGGGGGCAAGCGTCTCTTTTTCCATCCTGCCCCTGCACCTATTGTCTTAGGTGGTTTGGAGGCCAGAGCCTCGACATAGCCACCGCTTCCAGGTGCTGAGCGTGGCCACTGATGGAAAGGTGCTGCTCTGGCAGGCAGTTGGGGCGGGTCGGCTGCAGCTCACCCAGGGCTTTGCCCTGGCCGTTCAGCAGCTGCCACGGAGCACCAAGCTCAAGAAGGTATGTGGGCATGGCGGACACAGGCCTACAAGACAGCCCCTGGTCTGCGGGGCCCCAGTCTGGAGGCATCTGCTGCCCTGTAAGCTAAGAGCCTGAGGGGTGGGAGCAAGAGTGGTTGTAAATCGCTTGGTGACCTCTCCTCCAGTCCACTAGCTCTGTTGGGACAGTACCATCGAATGCCCTTGGCTCTGACCCTGCTGTTGCCATCTCTCCAACAGCCTTCCCGTGGTGAGACTGAGGTGGGTGCTACGGCAGTGGCTTTCTCCAGTTTTGACCCCAGCATTTTTGTTCTGGGCACGGAGGGTGGCTTTCCACTCAAGTGCTCCCTGGCAGCTGAAGAGATGGCCCTCACACGGATGCCCAGCTCTGTGCCCCTGCGGGCCCCAGCACAGTTTGCTTTCTCTCCCCATGGTGGTCCTGTCTACTCTGTGAGCTGTTCCCCCTTCCACAGGTAGGGAAGGCCTGGACTAGGGGCTTGGGGGCCTTCTCCAAGGCACAGAGAGGGCTGGGGGTCCCTGCTAGGCTCTGTGACAAAGTTGCTTCAAGCAATTTTGTTCTGATTCTGTCCCATTTGACCCCCTACATTCAGCTCTTTGATGGCCCCGGAGATCTTGCTCTTCTTACTGATGATTGACCCTAGATTTGGGGGTCAGGGGGGTGCCAGCCCCTGATGCCCAGTGCTGATTACTTTGCCTCCTTTCTGCCCTGCATCCTGTCTAGGAATCTCTTCCTGAGCGCAGGAACCGACGGCCATATCCACCTGTACTCCATGTTGCAGGCCCCACCCCTGATTTCACTGCAGCTATCCCACAAGTATCTGTTTGCTGTGCGTTGGTCCCCAGTGCGCCCCTTGGTTTTTGCAGCTGCTTCTGGGGAAGGTAGGAAACAGGACTCTATGAGATGGTACTTGCCTGGCTAGACCACACATAGGGTTAGGACAGCATCCCTCAGACACCCACTGTTAAGTGACCCTGGCTGTACAGATGAAGAACCAGTTGAATTCGGGTATCAGCCTTATTTTGTAATGTGTCAAGGGCTAACCTTGTGTCAAGAGGCTTAGGTTGCTGCCCTGGGCCTCTCTTACCCTACAACTTTTTCTGCAGGTGATGTGCAGCTATTTGATCTCCAGAAAAGCTCCCAGAAACCCACAGTTGTGATCAAGCAAACTGAGGATGAAAGCCCTGTCTACTGTCTTGAATTCAACAGCCAGCAGACTGGGCTTTTGGCTGCTGGTGATGCCAAGGGCACGGTCAAGGTGTGGCAGTTGAGTACCGAGTTTACTGAACAGGGGCCCCGGGAAACTGAAGACTTGGACCACCTGGCAGTAGAGGTGGCCACCTGAGGACGATAGGGGATCCCCCCACACAGAGGCCACTGGCACGAGGCTCCACTGTTCTCAGCTGTTTTCTGATACAGGCTGAATGAAGAAAAACTTTTAGGGGGAAGAGTCAAGTCATTTATTTGTCTTTTATGTGAAAACAAAGTTTGGGAGAGGAAAGGAGAACAAGGGAATGAGCCAGCTTGCTTAGGTTTTCTGAAGTCGGAATGACGGCAGCTGGCTTCAAGACATATATCTGGGTCCTCACAGCAACAGGGTGATTGTGACTGGACCAGAAGCAGTTTATTGAAGCACCATTTTCTACTAAGTCTTATCCCAAGCTAAGCAGGCTTAAAGTTACATTGGAGAATAACACTGTCTGGAATATTTTTTTTTAAGAGCACAAAGATGAGTTGACATGCAGCAGGGCACGCAGCAAGGGGCAGGCTGACCTCTGGGCTGAGGATCAGTTCACGAAGAGTGAGCGGGTGAACTCGACATAGTCGAAGGCGGTGGGGAGCTCGCGGCCCTTCCCGTCCACATAGGGCTTCATGTGGGAGACACAGTAGTCCGCTTGTTCCCGGGTCAGGTTCTGGGGCAGAGACAGCACCTGTTAGCTAACTGTGCCAGGCTTACTTGAGACCCCTGCCTCCACACATCTGTAGAGTGTTTGGGTTCAGTTCACAGACAATTCTCCCAGCAGATGTAGGACTTAATTTCATTTGTAAATGGAGAAAAAAACTGTACCCAGCATAGATAGCACTTAAAACTGGGGAATGACCCCCCTAGACTTAGCTCTGCTGCATATCTAAGCATGACCTTTGGCTTTAGTTTTCTTGAGGAAACCCCTTCATCCCACCTCCCAAGGCCCCTACCTGGTAGAGCTCCTCCTTGGTCACGTAAGGTTTTCCTTCTGAGCTGAGGGCCCGGAAGGCGCTCTCGATCTCCTCACTGGACTTAACGTTCTCAGTTTCACGGCTGATCATAAAAGCCATGTATTCTTGCAGGGAGACATGGCCATCCCTGGAGGGCAGGGGAGCAAGTGCAGTGAGCAGGGAGGGAAGAGAGGCGCTGAGGGTACAGGCCACTTCTGCTCCTTGCCCACAAGTTACCTGTTTGGATCCACGGTATCCAGGATTGCCTCGAACTCAGGGTCAGGTTCTCCTTCCTCCACCATGGGCAGGTCATAGCCCAGGGAACGCAGGCAGGATTTGAACTCCTGGTGGTTCAGCCTGCCAGACTTGTCCTTGTCAAAGTGTCTGCAGCGCAAAGCCCAGGGCTGCTCAGCACCCAGGCCCTGCTGCTGAGCCCACCCCAGCCCCAGTTGAGTGGGGCCTACTCACTTGAACATCATGCTGAATTCTTTGAGGGCTTCCTCGGTCACACCTGTTGTGTTCCTGCAAATAAGAACAGAATCAGGGAGCAGGCCCACCACACAGCAGGTGACACTTTCCCTCTCTGCGGCCTGCCGGCAGGTACCTGGCCTGGATCTGCTGCTCCAGGTTGTGCTGCATGCGCATGCCCAGCTGGTCCAACTGGTCCCACTGCTGCGCCAGGCCCACAGTGCTGTGCTCTGTGTACTTATTGTCCAGGATGAGGGCCTCCTCCATGGCGGCCCCCAGGTCCTCAATCTTCTTGAGCTGACTTCTCATGGCTCGAATTTCCTGGTGCTTGCGCTGCAGGGTGGGGAGCACGTGGGATGGGGCCTATGCTTTAGTACCCAACCCAAAAAGCCCTCAAGTGCTTGCTCCCAGCCTGGCCTGAGACCTAGACCAGGAACCTTCTAATATGGGGAACTGATGGGGTGAAGCTGAAGAAGTCCAAACATTAGTAGAAGGAAACACTTTTTTTTTTAAAATTTATTATTATTTTTTTGTAGAGACAGTCTCATCTCACTTTATCACCCTCGGTAGAGTGCCATGGCATCACACAGCTGACAGCAACCTCTACCTCCTGGGCTTAGGCAATCCTCTTGCCTCAGTCTCCCAAGTAACTGGGATTACAGGCACTTGTCACAGTGCCTATTTTTTGTTGTTGCAACTTGGTTGGGGGTGGGTTTGAACCCGCCACCCTTGGTATATGGGGCTGGTGCCCTACTACTCACTGAGCCACAGGTGCCACTGTGATTTTTTTTTTTTTTTGAAACACGTTTTCACTCTGTCTCCCGGGCTAGAGTGCAGTGGTGCAATCATAGCTCACTCCAGCCTTGAACTCCTGGGTTCAAAAATCTTCCCACTGCAGTCTTCTGAGTAGCTGAGACTACAGGCATGCACTGCCATAGCTGGCTAATT